AATGATTTATTAATCACAGAATATGAAAGCAATTCCTGGCTGTTTCACTGCCTGAGTAACTTTAACAAACATTGATCACTTCATGATTATTTTTTTTTTTAACACTCCACAGACAAAGTTAAAAGCAGGATTTTGTGCTAAAGGCAGGAAACCTGCCAGTTGAGTCAGTGGGATCATCTGAAATAGTTGTAGAGTTTTGGGGCTTTTTCGATTGTTCTTTTTTGGTTTGGATTTGTTTAATTTTTGTTGTTGTTGTTGTTTAGTTTTCTTTTTTTCCTCCTCTTTCATGAATTACGTTAAAATTAGTAGTTAATTACAGACTTGTAATGAAGACAAGCTGTTATCTAGTTTCTGGAGTTTAGCTTACATTGTATGCTGGGCCTATTTCTTCTGTCATAATAATTACCCTTTCAGCTGGTATTTTAGTGGGAAACAATCCAAGAGATGAAACCACTCAGAACTACTTGATTTACCAAACAAATATATCCGCATAAAGGTCTGTTTGTATTTCCAGTGTTACATGGATTATTGTTAGATTTCCATTGTTATACCACAGTAGTGATCCCTTGAGGAGCTGGGCCTCACATAACCTTCCCCCCTGTCCTCGATCTCTTCCCAGTCACAGCACTTTTAGTACTAAGGACATTTGAGAAGGTGGTGGTGAAAGCAGCAACCTTCAACCCCTGGAGGCAGCTCCTATCACTTATGCTGCCACTGTGACCCAAGCTGGAGAGCAGAAGGGACATTGTTCATCTTAATATCTTGTGCCACACAGGCTGGTACATTCTACCCTTGTGTGCTTGTTTGTATTCCAGTAACTTCTGCCTGATGGAAGTTTTTACTCTAGGAAGAAATCAGGTTTGATTTGAAAACACTGAGGAACAGAAAAGCCATCACTTCTCTTAGTAATAATATTGCCCATTTTTAAATCTAGTGTTTTCTACCAATAAAATTTTTTATGTGCTGCTACCAGACAACTTCTCAATCCTTTTTTCTTTTTTGCTCAGCTAAACAGATCAAAATTCACAATTCCCTTATTTTAAAAGCACTTCCACTTCATAAATTTTTTTTGATGACTTTTCCCTGCTCCCTTACAAAAACGTTTAACAAGCTTTTTAAAATGAGGTCACCACACCAAGATTCATTATTCTCATCACGGTCTTGACATTGACAGAGTATACTTTATAATTCACAATTTGGAGGTACTCTTTTAAGATTATTTCCTTCACCTCTCTTCACAGTCCTTCCTCTGCTTCCACTTTCTGTCATGCTGCTTCTCCTTTCTCCTTTAGCTCACTTTCTCTCTGAACTTCCCTCGCTATGCTTTGTATAGCTATTCCTCTTCTCACAGCCCAACCCAAAGAATGGAAAACCCCAGTGAACAAACATGCTAATCTCTTTCTGGAGCATCTTTCTGGTGATATTTAGAAATCATCTCAGTTCAAAATTACTTTTATGTACAGTATCTTTCTTTTATCTATTTTATATCCATTTTAATATATTTGAGGGAATGATTGTCTCACCAGATCTAACTTTATTTTGTTGTTAGGTCTTAAACTCACGTTCCATATTTGACTGTCAGCAAAGAGATAGCCCCATCTTGAATTTTATCACACATCTCATCCATAATCCCATCCATGTGGCACTCCAGCATGGCTTTGGAATTTCAGTAACAAGCAATAAAAATGCTGATAGCTGCTTTCTCCTTACAATATTTCCCTCCCAATATAGACATAAAGTTAAGATGGTTGCTCTTTGTTATAGATAATATCAGTTACAGATTTAGTTTCTCTGAGTGTTATCTCTGACACCCATTTACCTTGGGTGATAACTGATAAAATGAAACATTATCTTCTGATGACTAAACGTTCCACTAGTATCACATTTCTATTAACTGTCCGTACAGACAGACATTAATACAATAAAAAGAGTTATGTTGCATGTGAAAAGGTATGAGAACCAGCTGAATAAATGAACCCTTCGTGAAGAGCTTGTTCTTGTTCTTTTTATTTTAATTTGCATTTCCAGCTGCAGCTAGAGTGAGCTTACAGGAGGCTGGGTTTTGCAAGACAGAGTTATGATTCTTGCTCATGCACAAATGTGATGAGGCAAAGCTTCCTTGCCTTAGAGTAAATATCAGATTTCATGGAATGTTGCCATGACTGAAAGTCGTATTTCAATTGTACTCAATGGTTAATGAGCAAAGTACAAAATTGTAATAACAATAATAACTTTCCTTTTGTAAGATTTGTGATAAGACACAGTGATGCAAAAAATCATCACAGAGAAAATAATGATCTTGGATTGTTTTGTTGAGTTCTGAACAGTTCCTTACACCTGCAAAGACAGAGTGGAGCAGCAAGACTCAAGTCTAGATCCTTAGTATATGAGCTTAAGATCAAGTTGTACAAGTCTCAACTAACAATCAGTTACCACTTTAGGTGTATGGATATGAGTCGTACGAAAACACTCTGAAATCCCTTGTGAGTCAACCTGTCTATCTAGATTTATTTTACTTGTTATGTAATGAATAGATTTGACATTCTTGTT